AGTGTATCCTGTCTCATAGCGACCCTACAAAGGACTTCTGAGACTGCAGTTCTTCATGGGAGTAGATAGCTTCATCTTTCTTCCATGAGCAGGGCAGTTGTACTCTGTCACATGGGGTCGCTTTGCATTGGAATCACTTTGTCAGCACACATTACAAAAGAAGAAGTAGAAAAATGATATTGAGTAAACAAAGGGCAGTCTCAGCCATGCCTCCTAACTAGGAACACTCCCTCCTGTCTCCTCCTATGGCACTTTTTTACTCATTTCCTCTAATATTTAGTCTATTCTGACCCATAATAGAGACCAGATTCTGAGCTCCATGAGGTGTCTTGTTCGTATTTTAATCCCTACAGCCCCTTTGCTAGGGCTTTCCACTGTGGTGCTAATCAGGTGGGTTTTAAACCACAGAAGCCAGAAAGCCAGACAGGCTGCAGACCGGGTACCAGTGATGTGGCAAACCTCCCAGCCTTCTCTTTTATGTGATCACTTACCTGGCCACCTGCTATTTTGATAAATCATACTTACTGCCTCTGCTAGGGGGCTCTGAAGAGGGTGTGTTCACAGGACCCATATCCCTGGCTTTTGCTGCTATTCAGGTGAAAATATGAGAGTGCCTCCCTGTTTGTTTCTCAGGCCAGATATCATCAAGAGCTATTAAGACATTTCAGATGACTAAAGCTTTCTGACTTGCCATTAATAGGACATGCTGTGGAATTTCCAACCACAATTAGGTCTGAGCTACAGGATTCAGAATCAAGAAACAAAGTCAACCTGACCTTGTTATTACAACTCAAATACTCCCTATGGATTGGATTTGCTTTGCTAGGGTATGGCATTGGTTGAGGGAGACAGTTCAGCTAGAAAACAAAGAATGAGGATAATGCTTTATGTGGGAGGGATGAAATGAGCAAAACATAATGACCAGAAGAGCCACTGGGTAGGTCTCTCACCTCATAGTCTTTCAAACATGCTTACAATAGAAATAATAGATAACAACACTGTTTCAAGTACATCTGATATCATCCAGTTTGTGGGCTAGCCTGGACACCTTGTTTCTAGGAAGAATGAAGTCTCAGGGAGCAGGTTACTTGGAGGAGCTGCGAATAACCCACCCTTCCCCTTCCCTTTCCTTCTATGCTTGCCCACCTAGTTCTAGCTGCCAGAGAGGCTAAGAGGGCTGAGGGTTGAAGAAGAACACAGAGATAATGATGGGTTTCCCTTCAAGATGTCAGGCATTTGATCCTTATGATACTCTTATGAAATCAGGAATAATATCCCCACTTTATAGATGGAGGTTAATTGCAATACATAGCGACTAATCAGAAGAACTAGAAACTGGCTTTTGGGTCTTCGGTGTTTCTCACTTGGACACATTGATGGAGCTGCATATGAGTAAGAAGGTTGTGAAAAAGGATCATAAAGTGTCACAGGGGGAAGGGACTTTAGAGATCATTCCCAAGCAAAGCACCAAACCAGTTGCTGTCAAGTGGATTCTAACTCTGTCAAAATAGAACTGTGCTCCCTCCATAAGGCGTTCAGTGGCTGATTTTTTAAAAAGCAGTTCGCCGGGACTCTCTTCCAAGGTGCTTCTGGATAGACTCAAACCACCAACCTTTTTTTCGTTTTTCTTTTTTAAGCTAATGACTGTTTGATTAACTGTTTGCACCACTTAGGGACTCCAGAAATCATTCCAAACACCCTTATTTCACAATGGAGAAGCACAGAAAAGATTACATCATCGGTGGGTAGTAGACATTTCCAACTTGCAGCTCACTGATCTTCTTTATGAGTCTGTTATTAGCTAAAAAGTTTTCCCCAAATTATGAATGAGCAAAGGGGAAATCATGTGCACGCTCGTAGGAAGGTGTCAGACGGAGGCTCTCGGTACCTGCGCTCTGAAAATGTCCTGGATGTCTCAGAAGCAGATTCATCATTCTATTTCTGGTAAGTGTGAATTCGGCTTTAGCAACAAAACAAAACGAATCAGTATTTCATTATATATCCATTCAAAACTCTGTTTTCTTTTCACCGTCTCCGGACATCACCAAGAACAAAGTCCTCCATGGTCAAGAATGCTGCCTTCCCATAAAGACATTTGGCAGGCATGGTACAAGTCCTGCGTCTTTCAGTGCAAGATGTTTTCCCATTCATTATATCTTACTATTGACCTGTCACATCTGCCTGCCTTGGCTGTGTTGGCCTGAACACCTCTGTCTTCCTGAAACCTTCACAAGCAACTGGAGGGATTTGTGTATTCATTAGCTCTGTGAGCAAAGACTTTACAAACCATTTTGCTTCCTTCTAAAGTAAATTTAGGTGTGGTGCTGCAGGTTAAAGTGCTGGACTACAAGGTTGGTTTGAACTATAAGGTCGGTGGTTCAAGTTCATCAGCCACTCCCAGGATTGCTAAGAGCCAGAACTGACTCGATGGCACTTAACAACAACAAAGCAAGCTTATGCATTTGGGATCCTGAGCAACTCTCGGGGTATACACCTTGGGCTTCCTTCTGCTCTCTGTCTTATGCTACCAAGCTGTGCTCCAGCCGCAGCTGTTCTATTCTAGAAAAGTGGAAAATGCCGGCAGGAAGCACCAGTGCCAGGAATGAAGCTCACTTTGACGACTCTGTTGCCTTCTTCCCACCACAGTGGTCACCGGAAAGCCTGCTCCTTACATACACGACACGCCAATCCTTTGCTCAGCCCCCGCGCTGTCTGCGGATTGCCTCAACCTTGCTCAGAGGACCTCAGGCTCCCATGAATGATCCTGTTCATCCGTCTGTTTTTTTGGGGGGAGGAGGGCGGGAATTGGGTTGTTGTTTTTTTTTTTTTTGATTCCTGTCAAACACAGGAAATTAGATTTGACCTCTACTCTCATCACTCTGAAATCCTCCTTGGCACTAAAGACTTCCAGCCTTTGTAATCAGAGCAGCTATTATCACTCTGATTAACGCTGGAGCGCTTATGGGGCGGGAACCAAAGGCAAATGTGATTTCTGTGAGTCCTCGTCCCCATGTTGAATGCGGATGTCTTTAAACGGAGTGAAATCATCTCTAATAAGCAGGCATCAGTATTCAGATGGCTCCGGGCTGCATTAGCAGTTTCCTGGCAAAGTGGTCTGTGCCAAACCACCTTATGGGACCTTTCCAGGTCCAACCAGAAAACAGCAGGAAGAATCTCAAAGGAAAGCCTATTGTCAACCAAACCATAATGTATTTGGGACAGACTTGGAAGTGCAATGCTGTCTTTTCCTCAGCTCTAATGGATCACCATGTACGTCTCAAGCACATTAAATGGAGGAGACGGAAAGACATGGTAGAAAACAACTGTGCCCTCAGATGAGAGAAGGAAAATGCAGGGGACTCCCAAAGTTCATGAAAAAAAAGTAGAATTGAAAGATAATGGATATTTTCCATGAACTTTTAAATTTTTTTCTAGCCTTTGCATTCGACTATGGATTTCCCACTCAAGGCTTCTGTATAAGATACCTATTCTGTTTCTGCAAAGCACATGGATTCATTTTACATTTTGTTGTTGTTGTTGTTATGTGCCATGGAGACAGTTCTGACCCACAGCGACCCCGTACAGGGTTTCTGAGGCTGCAAATCTTTACGGAGCAGAAAGCCTCATTTTTCTCCTGCAGAACATCTGGTAGTTTCAAACTGCCGACCTTGAGGTTAGCAGACCAATTTGTAACCACTACGCTACTGAACACATATTTACAAATAAATCTACTGTAGTCAGAGCTAGTGATTGTTATTAGCCAGCGGTGAGAGGATCATGTTTGTCTCAATCACTAAACACTTCACACAGGGCCCGGCACAAAGAAGGTAGTCAGTGAATTGTGGGATAAATGGAGGGGGGACAGTGACAAAGGGGTTGTGGCACTGTAGGATCAGCACTGAACCACAAGATCAGCTTGAACTGCAAGGTCAGCAGTTCAAACTCACCAGCTACTTCTCAGAAACCCTATACGGAGTTGGTACTGACTTGATGGCACTTAACAATAGGACATTAAAATCTAGCTGGAGGTTCAGACAAGTACATAAGCAATTGTTACACAGGGAAGAATTTGGAGAGCATTTTACATGAAAGACGAACCAAGATCTCAAGGCTAAGGAGGGAGGAAGGTGACATCTAAGTGGCAGGGAGCAGAGAAATGGCGCTTATGAAGAAGTTAGGCTCTCCCTTGACTTTGGCATCAGGTGGAGCTTCAAAGGAGCAGCGATTCTGTGCATAGTGCAAACAGTTCATGCATGCAGCCACTAACCAAGAGTTTGGTGGTTTGAATTTACCCGGAGTATCTGGGGGAAAAGGTCTGGTCATCTATTTCCAAAAAATCAGTCACTGAAAACCCTTTAGAGCACAGTTCTACTTGGATGCATATGGGGTTGCCTTGAGCCAGAGTCAACTCGGTGGCAATCAGTTTTTAAAAGAGAAGAAAAAGGTGGAGAAAAGTAAAAAGGGGAAACATTTTGGCCATAGCAAGTATGCCACATGGAGTATTCAGGAAAGCGAGGGGACAGGTCCAGGCTCTCACCCTTCCAGGTAGAAAAAAGAAAGTACATTCATTGCCACTGACTCTATTCTGACCCTGTAGGACACCGTAGAAGCGCCCCGGTAGGGCTTGAAAGGCTGATGGGCTCAAACTGCCAACGTTTCGTTATCAGCTGAGCACTTCATCATTGTGTCACCAAGACGTCTTCCAAGCTGGGAGCACAGCCTTTTGACAGATGATGAGTTGAGGTTTTAAAGGAAATCCTTTTCCTATGCTTCATTTCCTGAGAGGGCAGAGCTTTTGCATAGATGGGGCTTTCTCCAAGAGTGAATTCTGTCACAGACAAGAATAGCCATCCACACTTTCTCTGTCACAGGAGAGCCTGGACCTCGGGGGTCCTGAGAACCCCCTCCCAGACCAAGTGAGGGCAGGCAGCATGCAAGCAGGTATGGAATCCCTTCTTCCACCATCTCATGATCTCCCTCTCTCTGCTTGTCCCATCCAGCCTCAAGCCCTTCTCCAGATGGGCAAGATGCCAGACGGCCCAGGAGCACGAACCCCTCCACCTGGACAGTGGAGGACGTGGTCTGGTTCCTGAAAGACGCTGACCCTCAGGCTTTGGGGCCTCACGTGGAGCTCTTCAGAAAGCATGTATGCCAGGGGTGGACCCCAACCTCCATGGGGTGGGAGACTAAGGGTCAGGGAGTTGGGGTCTGCTGGGGCAATTGAACTAAGTAAGCCCTAGGGGAATGCTCAAGTGAGGAAGAGATGAGAGGCTAGGTGGAACCACAGGCTTCTCAGAGCAGGAAAACCTGAAAAACTCGGTTTTGCTCTGTCTGTACATTCCACAAACAAACATATATAGTGTGTTCGCAGTAGTCAGGCAAACTGTGATTGTGCCCCTTGTGTTTTGAGGATTAAATGAGAAAATATACATCAAGTACTCAGCACAGTGTCTGGCTTCCAGCTAGCTCTCATTCAACCCAAACCAAACCAAGTCCATTGTCACTGAGACCATTCTGATTCATGGCTACTCTACGTGTTACAGAGGAAAACTGTTCCACACAGTCCTGGCTATAATCTTCATGGAGCAGATCCTCAGGGCTTTCTTCTGCGGTGCTTCTGGCTGGGCCCAAACTGCCAGCTTTTAGGTTTGTAGTCAAATGCAAACTATTTGCGCCACCCACGGATTTTAGCTCACATTAGCAGGTATTATTACACCCACTCAGGAGGTGCTGGAATGTGTAAAGATGATTGGAAACTATTGCTGCACCAACCATGCCTCCCACAGTCCTTTCTCCTCAACTGGGTCTCATGATTCATTACAATGGCCACACAGAACTTAAACATCATACTCATGGTTGTGGGTTTTATTAGGGAACTTAACAGGTTACAATATAGGATTAGACAATGCTTAGGGAACAGTTAGTTGTTCTAGTCAGCTGCTGATAAACGCCCATAGTACACCCCACATCACCATAAGCCTTAGTCTGAAATAACTCAGATCTAGCTCCATGGGTCAGCACTAAAGTGCCTAGAAGTACCCCACTCTACAAGCAAGCTTCCTGCCAAAGCCACTCAGATTCATTTGCTCGGGTCTCAGACTCTGTTTCTTGGTTCTGCTGTTCTTATTCCTCTGCCACTTCTCTGATGTCACAGTTTTCCATCCCTGGGTTGAGGAGACTCAATGTGCAGGGACCTTGGGGTTCAAAGGGCATGCTCCACTCCTGGTTCTTTCTCTTTGATGGTAATGAGATCCCCCATCCCTGCTTCTGAGATGGTTCATATTATAGTCACGCTAGAGTTCCAAGTCTTTACAGTTACAATGAAGTCTGCCAGCATCTACAGCTGAATCATATCATCCTATAAGTATCTTCTCCCACCTTCTCTGACCCAGACCTTGTCGTTGTTGTTGTTAAGTGCCATCGAGTCGGTTCTGACTCACAGTGACCCTAAATAGGATTTCTTGAACCGCCAACAGCTTTGCAGTCTGGCACATTTATCCATAGCGCCACACCAGGACTATTTCAAGCAGAGCAGAAATAGTGTAGGCGTGACAGACTATGACTGGAAGAGATATGAGATAATTTTCCTAGACATTAGCTAATTCACTACACCAGAAATGAAGAAAAAAAAGGTAATACTTTCTCTGCCAAGTATATGGTATTGGTGTCTCATTGCTGTTATAACAAATTACCACAAACTTTGTGGCTTAAGACAACATAAATTTATTATCTCCCAGTTCTGTAGATCATAAGCCTGGCATGAGTCTCAGTGGTCTAAATTCAGAGGGTCAGCAAGTATGTGTCCCTCCCTGGGGACTTGAGGGAGAGTCTGTTTCCTCATTCTTTCACTCACTGTCCCTTACCCCAGCTTCAAAGCCAGTAAGAACGGGGCGAATCCTTCTCAGATCACCATCTCTCTGATTCTTGCTTCAGATTTCCCCTTTTCTGTTAAGAATTCTTGTCGTTATATCCCTCAATATTCTGCTAATCTATAATGTTGTTGTTGTTAAGTGCCATTGAGTCAGTTCCGACTAACAGCGACCCTGTACAGGGTTTCTGAGGAGCAGTTGGTGAGTTTGAACCACTAACCTTGTCACATCAGGAGTCCAATCTATAATAATCTCCCTATTTTAAAGTCAGCTGACAAATAACCTTAATTCTATCTAGAACAGGGGTGGGAAATGACCAGCCTGCAGGCCATATGTTGTTGTTAGGTGCCATCGAGTCAGTACTGACTCATAGCAACCCTATGCACAACAGAACAAAACAATGCCTAGTCCTGGGTCAACCGTATAGTTGTTGTTGTTGTTAAGTACTGTCGAGTCGGTTCCAACCCATAGCGACCCTGTACAGGGTTTCCGAGGGTGTAAATCTTTACGGGAGTAGAAAGCTTCATCTTTCTCCCGTGGAGCGGCTGGTAGTTTCGAACCGCTGACCTTAAGGTTCGCAGCCCTATTCATAACCACTACGCTACCAGAGCTCCTTGGGTCAACCATATAAAGCCCTTGAAATTATTTGGTCTGACACTGCCAAGGTAATCCCAGTTCTAGCCATCACGTTAGGGATGTTTGACCAAATAAAGCAGGCTCATTTTCAAGTTCATAATTTTGTATGACCCGTAAATGATGTTATAAATATCAACATGGTCCTTGGTTCCCCACACACACACACACACTCTAGAAACTTAATTCTCTTTAGCTAATGGAATCCTGGTGTGGCACTGCATGATAACACACAGGACCACAGGTTGGCGGTTCAAACCCACCAGCTGCTCCTCAGAAATCCCATACAGTGTCACTATGAGTCAGAACCAACGTGGTGGCACTTAACAACAACAACATGTAATGTAACATAGCCACAGGTTCTGGGTATTAAGACATAGGCGTCTGTGAAGAGGAAGATGTTATTCTACACCCATTATTCTTTCCGTCTGTCTCTCTCTCTCTATCTAGGTGATTCTATCGTAGAAAGTATACTCTCACATCTGGAAAGCATCTTAAAGAGCCTCTTCTAATCTGTCATTCACATCTGATTAGCAGAGCCTTGAGACCAAGAAACAGAATGAGTTCTGTTTAGTCAGATTTGGGTAGAGGGAGTCTGATGTTTTCATGAGATGGTGGAAGTCTATCAGGTAGGGTAAAAATGAGGCTCCTAAGAGGAGACTGCAAACAAGATTTGTCCACTCTGCCATTTTATCAAGGGCACGGAGAATGAGTGACACAGAGTAGGTGCTCTATTGATGGCGGCTGACTGGCTAGAAAGATGGATGGATGGATGGATGAGTGAGTGGATGGATGGATGGATGGATGGATAGATGGATGGATGGATGGATGGATGGATGGATGGATGGATGGATGGATGGATGGATAGATGGATGGATGGATGGATGGATGGATGGATGGATGGATGGATGAGTGGGTGGATGGATGGATGGATGGATGGATGGATGGATGGATGGATGGATGGGTGG